GAGTGCATTTCTTCGTGACTCGCAAACAGCTGGGGCACTGCAGCCTTAGGGATTAACCCTGCCTGGTGCTCTCTACCTACAGCATTTAGTGCTTTCAGTGGGAACTCTGAGTGTTCGGCATCTTCCGGGATCGATCGGAGCGCAGAGGATTTCTGCACCAAACTGTAATGGATGTTATCAAAGGTTCGACACACGAAATCCCCTGGGAGGAATTCTAGACCCTTAAGATAACAGAACTTGATAACCTCAGTAAACAGCTTGAGTGTGCGAGGACAGGCGTTGAGCAGATTGGCTTGCGTTAATAGAATTGCACTGACAGTGTTTCTTATAGGATTACTGAATAATTTTTTAATAAAATACAGATTTTATAATCAGGAAGCCAATGCTAGGTACTGGAACAATAGTACGGAGGAGTTGATTTTTATTTCTACAGTGTTAAAAGTGCACTTATATGCTGGTTTATTTACATCTTGGGGAAAGGCGAGAGACTGCAAATAGGGAGATTATTACTACTTTCTTTTTTAAAAAAAGAAGGCTTAAGGTAAATTTTAAGACTAAAAATGTTTAAGCAATTATAAGCAAGGCTAGACCCTTTGAAAAAAAAAGTTTAGAAATATTCTTAAAATAAATTTTTATAGTGTTAATTTTGTAATAATTTATGTTTTGCTATACTTCAGAGCTAACTGACCGTATAGTTTCAGAAACAGTATGAAACTTAGGAAAGTTTAAGCAATGTTTATATTTTTAAAATGTTCTTTGAATTATGTTTTTATTGTACATTTCTTCAGACTGAAAAATGTGTACATATCTTTGTTATTTTTGCACAATTTTTGTCTCGTTCAGTTTTAGGAGCAGTACTATGTTGATTTTTTTTTTTTTTTAATTTATTTTGAGTTATAAAACCGCAGGAGTTTATCAGTCTCAGTAACAAACCATCCTCTGTAATCAACGAGCGGCTGTTTCTGGTTGTTGAGGGAAGAGAGCGGTGGTGAGGTGCAGAGGTGGCTTCTGAGGAGCAGCGCTCAGCAGGGGCGGAGGAGCGCCGTGCTGGTGCTCGGAAGCTGCAGCTCTTTCCACGCCTCTTGGGATTGGAAAGCTGCAATGTGGAGCCTGTCCTTTGAATGCTGCTGACTTGTTCCGTTTCATCCGGCTTACACCTGGCAACACTGGGGGAAGTGAAGCACCAAGTAAAAGCCCACAGTCTTTCATCGTCAAGTAGTCATTATTTAATTACGAGTATTGAAAATTTCAGCCTGAGAAGTGAAATGGAAGTAAACATTTGAATAAAATGGATATAAACTGGACCAGCCTATAATGCATTATTAGTGTAGCATTCACTCGGTAGTTCTTTTTCGTTACCCTTTGCCTGAAAATCTCGTGGTTTGTTTCCAGCAATAGAGGCTCAGAAGCTTTGGTTGTTGACATACGCAATGCATAGGCCCGTCAGCCATAAAAAGCGACTTGGATAACTTGTATGCCTTCTTTTGTATCGATGTAACAATTGTAAATAGTGCTGATCGACCTTTGTAGAGAATAGTTTATACAGCATATTCTATTATTGCTGATTCTCAGTGAACTATTGTTTAAAAAAAAGAAGAAAAAAAGAAATTTTTCTATTTACACCTTATATTTTGTTATGCTGTCGACCCATGGCACTTTAACAAAACTCTGTGGGTTTTGCATAGCTGGTCAGTCATGGGGTATATTAAATAACTGTTGTTGCACAGAAATGAATTTGCACCTGCTATATTGTGCTTTCCTACTACAGATTTTAGAACCTTTTCCAGAAGACTTTTGAAGAAAGCATGTCCAATCATTCTAAGAAAGAAATGCCATACTTGTACAGCCAATTTCTTTTCTACAATCCATATTTTGTAACACTAAGTATTTTCATTCTTTGTCCTGCACCTTTATGTATTAGCAGTATCAGATAGAATCCATTCCATGCTTGTGATAATTGTAAGCGGAATAAATGTCTAAAGTAGGTGTAAATAGTAAATTCTATGGCTTACAGTTTAAAAAAGGAAAACCAGAACAAACATGTATCTGATTGATACTGCCATGGTTCAACACCGGGCCTGGAGATATTCTCTAGTGAGCGATTGTATTTTTTTTTTTTTTTGCTTTATTATTATTATTTTTTTTTTGTAACATGGCTTTGTAAATAAAATAATTTATATGTTTGTAAGAAACAGGTGAGTTCTGTCATTATTTGTCTTTGCAGAGCAGGAGCGGTGTGTGTTGCAGGGCTGCCCCTTCTCTTCCCTGGGGCTGACGTACAGAGCACAGATGGATGGCCAGCACTGAGAGGTTGTGCCGGAGATCTGCCCAGCTCCCTCTGCAGGGCTGAACTGATCTGGAATTATTTTTGGCACTCGTGTCAAAAATATTCCTGTGCTTACACATCAGACGTGTATCCTCAGCGACTGAGGGTTTTGTACTGATCAGTCGTGTTTCAGTTCCTCTGCTTAGCTGAATGTGTTTTCTTCTTGTCGGTGTAAGAATCAACCTCACCAGAGCTGCTGGATTTGGGAATTCTGACTTAGTGAGCAGTGCAAATATGTAACCAGTCTTTTTTACTGTTGTTAATTCTAAAAACGCAACTTCTGTCTCTGAGTGCTACAACCCTTGTTCTGTGTGAAAGCCTGCTCCAGTTACAAATGAGACTTACGCTGTTCGGTGCCTTGTCAGCATTGCTGGTTTTCCTCTTGGCAAACTTCTTCTGCAGGTCTGGGGAATGTGTACGCTTCATGTTTCTCCTCTTAGGAACAACAATTTTGCAGATACTGCAGGAAAGAGACATCATTGCAGCATGGTCTTGAAAGCAAGAAATCGAACTACAAGCTGGGGTTGTGTTTGCATGCATTTAGAACAGGCAGAAGAGATGGCAAGCTGCCCTGGCTTACAGGAAACAAAAGTAGGAAGAAGACTTTACCTTCCAGCTGAAGAGCGTTGTGTGTAATGCCTTGCTTGTTCTTGATGCCTGTGGCAGAAGCTAATCCTGAACTTCCTCTTTACCGCACAGTACGTTTGGGCTGCTTATATTTTGATGTTTCTTTTTAGTGTTGAGTTTCACCTTTTCAGTACGCTGTAGAGAAACCAAACATCATTTGGTCACAGTGCGTGTTGAAGTTTCATCTGACAGAGTGATCTCCATGTATGCCTGAAGACAGCTGAAGAGACACTGTGTTTGTGAGATGGTATTTCTTACAGGCATTAGGAATCAAGGCTACAACCAAGAAAACAGATGATTGCAGCCACGAGTTACTGGTTGCTTGCCATCATCTGTCACAGCCAGCAGAGGTCAAGGGCCCTACATTTATTTTCCAAATATGACTGAGTCATTTATTAGTGCTTGCAGCTTTGCTGTCCTGGTTTACAAGCTGTTCTCTGTTTGGTTTCCCACACCCTTTTGGGTTATGCAACAAGTATTTTGCTTGCAACAGTATTCTCCTATTATCTAACACGCTCTAAATGCCACCAGTTTCAGAGGTAAGCAAATCACACCAGAACTTATTTTATTTATTGCACTCTAGTTCTTAGGCTTCTGTTTTTACCAGGGAAATAACTGTTTTAGAAGAAAGGCATTGCTGTCTGCAACCAGTATCTGTTTTACTCATCCAAATCTGTCAGGACTGACAATTGGAAGCCACGCCAATTACTGGCTCCAGAAATGTTTGGAGGCGATTCATGCAGCACATTCAAGCTTTTGAACACAGTGTTTATTTCATGCAATTTTTTCTGCTGTTTTTCTCCATGAATACCTCCTGAAAGGTATGACTCCAAACGAGTGCAGGCCTCTTTTAAAACTTAATCTCCTCGGCTGAGGGCAGCTGCAGCTGGTAACTCAGTAGCAGGCCCTGGTTTCACTTTCAGCTGCAGAACGCACAGTAGATGGCATGCATGCTCTCCTGTTCTCATTTCGTAACGCATCACAAATTACATGAGCTGGATTCTCCTTTTTTTGGGTGGGCAGAGGGGTGCCTTTTTTAGTGGTTAGGGCTGACCTGCAGGAGCATGAAGATCTGTGAGCAGCTCTCCACAGAAGGGAGAAAGGAAGAATTCTGAACAACACATAACGTGCTGCCAGCTGCAGCAGTATTTGACTGGCAGGGGAGAAGGGGCAGATGGGCATTTTTCCAACTCGGAGGGTAGAAGACTGACTACAGCTGGCAGCACGGCTGCCTGCAGGCCCTGCTCCTCCTCCTGTCACTCTTCAGGACTGTTGGTAGTCTATGCAGTCCAGTGCAATGAGATAGAAAGAGGAGGCTGAAGTTATATGCTGTATTCTACAAGAGGCTCATCTCCTGCCACAGCAGCTAGTAAGTGAAAGTCTTTCAGCAAAATTCAATTGTAAATAAATAACCACACAAAAATAGAAATGATCCTTGCGGTTGTGATTAAAACTTAATTAGCAGCAGCGTTACTGTGATGAAACCAGAGGTCATTCAGATGCGTTGTCAAATCCCATTTTTCTTCACCAGCAGAAGCGCAGTTCCTCTCGGTGAGCATCGCAGAGCTCAGAGCTCACCTGGTGCAGCACGTGCTGGTGCTGTGCTATGGACCGAGGACAAGTGCCCTACACCATGTGTTAGCAGAACGTTTTTCAAGGAAATAAATGGTGCCTTCTTAACAAAGAAATGACTTTATATATATATATATATATATGTATGTTCCTATGGAGGTTTGCTTTGCTTGGTGATTCTTGGAACCGTTCCTCACAGAAGCACGCTGACTGAAGCCTGCGGTTGCTGTGCGCGCACACTGCAAGTGTCAGCTTTTCGACGTGTGTTTCGTGCTGGTTTCTGCTGCTGCCCGCTGAAGCGGAGCCGTGCCGCACCACACGCCGTTTCCCTGCCCCGAGCGCTGACTCTCCGCCCCCTCCCGGCCCCGAGGTCCGCCTCGCTTCGCCCTCCCTCCTCGGCCACCTCCGAGGTCTGCGACGGCCGTTAGGGGCGGCGCCGCGGCGGTGTGGCGGCGCGGGCTCCTAGCAACGCGCCATGGCGGCGGGCGAGAGGCAGAGCCGCGAGTACCTGGAGCGGCACGGGCTGCCCGCGCTGCTGCACCGCCTCGCCGCGCTGCTGCTGTACCACCGGCCCGGTGCGGCCCTCCGGGGGTCGGGCTGAGGGGAAACGGGGTGTCGGCGGGTTTATCGCCGCGCTCCGGAAGGAGAGGGGTTCCGTCGGGGCTGGGAAGGAGACCATCGGGGCGGGCGCGGGAGGAGCAGGAGAAGGGGCGCGGAGGGCCCGCGGCAGCCCTGGCCTCGCTCCGTTGCAGAGCGGCCGCGGCAGTTCCTGCTCCAGGCGCTGGAAGCGGTGCGAGCGGCGCGGCGCGGCGAGGCGGCGATGCCGTCCGTGCTGGACGAGGCGGATGTGGAGGCCGTGTTCAGGATGCTGGACGCCGCGGGGCGCGGCTTCGTCACGGGCAGGCAGTGCCGAGCAGGTCGGTTCCGCGGCCCCGCGTTTGCTAAAAACGTTTCAGGTCTCTGCCTGCTTACACCGTGACAGCATCGGCGTTTGTGCCGACGTGGCCGGCGCTTCGCGACGTTAAACACTATCGCTTTTTTAACGATATCCCGGTCGCGTTCTGCCTTAAATCAGTCTGCCGAAGACTTGCTCGGGAACCCCTTTCCTTTCCCTCAGCTCTTACGACGCTGGGGCTGAGCACCGCAGAGCTGCGCGTCGGGGATGAGGAGGAGATCGGGCTGGCCACGTTCAGGAATGAAATGTAAGTGCCGCCGCAGGGGTCCTGCAGGAGTTTCCTTGGAGGTTACCCCTCGCAATGCAAGACCTAGGAAGGTCGACGCTGTAGCATGGACGGGCTGCTGAGCTTTCGGGATCCCTGCAAAACAGCCCTACTCCATTTCCCCCCCACAAACCGGGCAGCATCGGGCAACCCTGCAGATCGTAGCAGCATAGAATGGCTCCTGAGTTCCAACCCCCCGGCACAGGCTGGGCCACCAACCTCCAGCTCCGGTACCAGAGCAGGCTGCCCGGCGCCACAGGGAGCAAATCGCTGCTATAGAAACAGCGCGCTCAAGCAAAGCTGACCGTAGTAACGCGGCAGGAGCAGTCACGCAGCAATGAAGCGAGCTCCAGCTTGCGCTCATTGCTAATGGTCACGGCGTGCTTCGAGGGACGTTGTTTGGTAACTTACAGCCACTGCAAGAAAACAAAGCAGTTGTCCTCACTTACCTAACCGGATGTTCTCTTCTGTCCTAGGATGAAAACGTTGCTGGAAGGCTGGACTGTGGAGTGATTTAAGAGTGGTCTGCTCTGTATATTAGAAATAGGTATTTTGCTCCATCCAGTTACTGGTGGGTCAAGACAAGTTTAAGCAGTGCATTTATTTTCCCCCCATCCATTTTAGCTGTCGACTGAGAGAACAAATGACAAAAACATGTTTGTGCTTACCAGGCACTAGAAATGCATTAATTAAGATAATAAGATTGCCTGAATAAGTAGAAATCCTGTTTACAAATCAAAAATAAGTGTTTTGGCATTTCCTCGTCCAACTGTGGCCTCACAGTGCTGGTACGAAAAACATCATCAGCTTCAGCAACTTCAAAATGTTCATGTTTGGAGAAATACAGCATTGCCAACAATCACAGCTTTTAAATAAGCTCATGAATAAAGGAAGTCCTACTCAGAAAACAGAGGCCACTTCGGGACAGAAAAAAAAAAAATTAAAAAAAAAATTGAATTTTGAAATAGTATTGATAAATAAAAATGATATATTCCTTCATTCCATGCTGAGATTCGCTGTGCACATTTTAATACAGAACACCCATTACACCAGGGATTGAGAAGTGGAAAACATCTGCGCTTAGGTGAGAGCATGCCAGCCGTCCATACTGCACATAGCTGCACGTGCATACATGCACCAGCTCTGAATTCATTATACCAGTGTGACAGCATGCCAAAGCAACAAGGCAGGCCATCCAAAAACAAGTAACACATTCATTAGTAATGAAGAACCCGTGAGCTTCTAAATGTCAAGACAAAGTAGTGCTGAAAAAGAAAGATCTGTGCAGTTAGAAGTCAGCACCATAGCATCTTAAAGGTTTTTTTTTTTTTTGAACTGTATAAACTGAATAAAAAGTAAGATTATATCAAACCAATGACACAGCTTTCTGCTTATTTTTTTTAAACAAGTGATCTAGATTAAGTTTTAACCACTTCTGAAAAAAGTCTTTATTTGCCCGTACTTGGCCAAATAGCTCTCAAATTGAGAAGAATCTCAACATCCTGTTGTGCTAATTTGTAAACTCCCAGTTCATTTAACGCTGCTGTTGCTGATGGCTGGTTTGGCTGCAATGGCGCTTCGCTTTCTGAGGCTGACTGCAGTACTTCCTTCAGAAGCAAGGCAGAACCAATATTCAGATTCAGGATAATGCAGGCCTCTTTGATGCTACATGAGGGAAAAAAAGGTACATATGGATTAATAAAAGAAGCAACCATGGGGCACTCAATTTTGTATGCCCAGCAACTAAGAAAAAAAAAGTTCACACTGACTTCTGAAAAGGCTCAGAAGTACTGAACTGGAAACTACTGCTTATAGCATGACAAACATGAGGGTGGATTATGACAGAACAAGGGGGAACGGTTTTAAACTGAGACAGAGGAGATTTAGGTGAGATATTAGGAGGAGGTTTTTCACACAGAGGGTGGTGACGCACTGGAACAGGTTGCCCAAGGAGGCTGTGGATGCCCCATCCCTGGAGGCATTCATGGCCAGGCTGGATGTGGCTCTGGGCAGCCTGGTCTGGTGGTTGGCGATCCTGCACACAGCAGGGGGGTTGAAACTGGATGAGCACTGTGGTCTTTTTCAACCCAGGCCACTCTATGATTCTATGATTCATTCTATGAAATAGCATATTTATTTTTGCTAAGTATTTGCTATTATAAATGTCAAGACTGTGCCTCCCCAAGAGGTCCCCGGTGATCCACATATTTTAAGTCTTTCTTCCCCTCTCAAACTATGAAAAGATTCCTGATATGTGAAACATGCATCTGGACACTCTTTTCTGAAATACTGACTGATGAGACTTCCTACTTACTGCTTGAAGTAGTTTTCCGGCCTCTTACAGTAGTGTGAAAACAAAGGAAAAAGGTTTCTGGTCATGTCAAACTGAAGCTGTGCTGCTCCTCCTTCATTGAAATGATTTGCCATAATTATCTGCCAACAGAAAGGGGTGCATCTTCTGTTTAGGCCAGCCACCAACCCTTACACTGTGCTGCGTGTATTTTGTGCACACCCACCTCCTGATATATGTAAGTGTCCACTTTCTCTGCGAGCATTTGCCAGAATATTTTAAACAGAGAGTGACAGAGCTGCTGTTCCAGTTGTAGCAAGCGGTCTCGTAGAGTCAACAACATTGGGCAAGCTGTGCTTGACAAAGACATTACTGCCTGCTCTGCCTGAGATGGCAAAGACAACCACCTGAAAGAAATCATCACTGACGTCATTACAGTGAAATTATTCGTATTACAAAGCTGAAGTTAAAATATCACTTAAACAAATCTTAGCTGTTCTCAGTGGTGCACAGTTTTCTCCCTTTCCACTTCAAAGCTAAAAGTAATCGCTGAGCTGTTGTATTTGTTTAATGAAGTATTTTAGGATCTCATCATCAACCAGCCAAGAACCCTTGTGATTCTGTGAAGACAGAACTGGTCACTACATGCCACTTTTAATACTACTTTGAGGAGAACAATTCTCATCTAAACTGTATTTACCCAGAATTCTTCCTTGTTTTTTTAAGGTAACGTGCCCACTTATTGCAGAAGTGCTTTAGAAAACATAACAATAAGTAGGCTTGAGGAAAGTGTAAAAAAACTCTTCAAATGCTTACTACTCTGAGCCCTTCCTATTCAGAAAGCTGAATTTCTTATTTTTCTTTTCTTGCCTTTATTTGCCCCAGTGTTTTTACCAGAAAAAAACTACTGCGATGTGAGAAGAGAATGAGCAGATAGAATCACCTCTCTTTTTTGTACAGCTTTGCAGCATCTGTGACCTCCCTGAAGACGTGGCACACTTGGCGACTCAACATATCGTGTTTCAGGCGTTCCAGGAGGTTGATCATTTCATCAAAGACAGAACTCTCCATTGAAGCCAGCTGCCCCAGCTGCAGCTGGCTGACAGCATCGCTTTCTGCACAAACCTCCAGTTCAGCCTGCTGTAGCTGCAAGAAGAACTAGAGAAAGACAATCAGATATAAGTACTACCAAAAATAATCTTATTATTTGAACTTCTCTTCTGTACTTTAGCAGGTAGGATTCTAGAAAACACTCTTCTGACACTTTGATAATCTTACAATTTTAAGATTATAAAAACAATTTCCACATGGTCCCCATGTTTGTAAAAACAAAGCACTGTGTTTCAATCCTAAGAGCGTAACCGATATGGGTTTCAAATACAACAGCAGACAGATCAAAGGAACAGATTCAAAGAAATACTAAGTAGGTGCTTTGAGACAGCAGAACACTTTAAAACAGTCAAAATCGCTTGCCCTCGCCCCATCCCATCTGCAACAATAAACTAGAATTTAGAACTTGTTTCAGAATTAATGTCTCATTAAATCATAAGTTTGCTGGTCTGACAACAGCAAGGAAATGGATTGAGTTTAACATGACAGCAGTAATGATCTCCACGTTGCCTCTAAGAACATCAAGATGTTTGTGCAGATGCAGCTACGTGACATGAAGGCTGCTCCCCCCTCAAATCATGATTTCCTAGAGCCACAGTTCCCTGTGAAGGTAAAAAGAACCTGGTGGCTGCCCGTCCCACACACAGTGCCTATTGCACATCTTCTACACGTGGCAGTTGTATGACCTCGTACCGCAGCACTCACAGAACAGCTGAGTTGTCAGCAGGCTGTTCTGTAGCAAAATAACCCACACCCCATAACCAGTTATCGATGAGTGGTGTTTCTGCACACCTGGTCTGAGCTGTAACGCAGGTACCCAAACCAAATCCATTTAAGCTAACTTAGCACAGGAGCTCAAGAAACGTGTGTATGCTACTGCTCTCCATGCACTTCAACCAGCAACACACTGGCTCAGATCTCCAAAATCTACTTGCTTGCTTTTACAATGTGGAGCACATAAAGCGACAACCTTTTTGGCTGCTCAAACCATTTCATTCCTCAGGTTCTCTCTGCATATCTCTACCAACTTTACTGTTAATAAAGCTTAAACATCAGACAGTAATCTACCAATATCTTTTTTATTCAACCTGAATTCATATCTAGTTATATTTTTCCATAATTAATTGTTCTGAATACATTTAAATAATGCTGAAAATAAAATGTTTTATTATGACACAAACAAAACTACTCAACATTTTAAATAATTACTTACTACATTGTCAGCCCAGTCTGCCAGCACAGTTGCTATGTAGTTAACAGCATTGAGGATCGCACAGTATCGGAAGCCTAAAGAATCTCTACTCTCTTCCTTCATTACTTGAGTTAATCGTATCCTAAAATCATCAACCAACTCCTTCTGTAGCCCCAGGAACTGCAGTTTTCTGGAAGCCGTTGGAAGATTCTTATACCTGTCTGGGAATTCATACGTTTTATATTTTCCAACACTGAAAAGTTTTGAACAAGAGACATTACTGGCAGTTTATCCTCACTACTGTAATGGCATCATACAGCAGTTCAAAACACCTGACTCACAACAGCATCAAGGAGCACACACCACAACCTCCTTGGGCAACCCGTGCCAGCGCACCGTCACTCTCTGCATGAAAAACTTCCTCCTGATATCTCACTAAACCTCCCGTCTCAGTTTAAAACCACCCCCCTTGTCCTATCACTATCCACCCTCATGAACAGTCCTTCCCCCTCCTGTTTATGTGCTCCCTTCAAGTACTGCAAGGCTGCACTGAGGTCTCCTGGGAGCCTTTTGTTTTCCAAGCTAAACAAGCCCAGTTCTCTCAACCTTTCCTCATAGGAGAGGTGCTCCAGCCCTCTGATCACCTTAGTATCTCTACTATTAACGAGTTTCAGTATTTTTTAAGTGTTACTTTCTAAATATCTCAATGGCTCAAGATTATTTGCCCTGAAATTTGTGTCCAAAACACAAGATGAACAGGAACATTTTTTATTAAGTTAAATATCACAACTTTGCAACAATTTTATTTGGTGATTGTTGTTGACACAATTAACCTTCAACAAAGGAATCTATTAGCTGCCATTTTTCTGTTACTCGTTATAAACAAGAGGAATGTCCATAGGTTAGCAGTTACCTGTTATAACTAACAACAGAGTCATAAAAGTTTCCGCACAGTCTGGCACTTTCATTTCATCCACATCACTGATATCTTTGTACTGCGATACCCACGCAGCCTCTGATGAAAGCATAGAGTCCATTTTCTGAAGAGCAACTGAGATGCAAAAGAATTGTAAATGTTATTAGTACTTAATAATTAAAAAAAAAAATCTCAATTATCTAAAACCCAAAATATCATCAATACAAAAATGCTTATCTCCAGTAAGTTGAATTCTATCTTTTCACGTACAGAAAAATTCCTGATGACTGGTTTTATACAGAAGCAGCTCCAATAACAGTATTGCAGACACAGATGTAACAACATCAGGGTTAATTGTGGTTTTTGTTTTAAATAGTTGACTGGTTCCTTTCCAGTATACTTCCTCTCCATTTCCTCAAAAATTAATACCTTCCCTTCATTTCAATTTCAAGGCTGTCTTTGCACAAATAAATATGTAACACTGTCTAAAAATAAACATACTAGATCCCATACAGCTTAGTCTTATAAACTTCAGGAGCACTACTGCAGCCAAACCAATTTTTAGTCAAAACCACCACAGAATACTGAAGTATCACAGAATGGTTGTGGTTGGCAGGGACCTGGGTCTGTATGGCCAAACTCCTGCTTAAGGAGGGGCACCTATGTAACAGGGTGACCAAGGCCATGTCCAGGCAGCTTCTGAAGATCTCCAAGGAGGAGACTCCACAGCCTGTGCCAGTGCTCAGCCACCCACACATCACAGAAGTTCTTCCTGATGCTCAGATGGAACCTCCTGTCTTCCAGTTTGTGCCCACTGCCTCTTGTCCTGGCA